TATTCCTGCCTGTACAGACGCCCAGAGAGTTGACGTGACGCTAGTGAACCAGTTCCCGTTCGTGGCTGACTCTGACACGTTCCTGAAATGCGTCAGCGACGAGGCCAGCTCCATCCGGGACATCAGGTTCAACGTCATCGCTGACGTAGGCAACGGCGCCAACTACCCCAACCAAGTCAGGTCAGACTTTGAAATTTAGTTTTGTTTTCAAATTCTCTTGACAAAACGAAAAAAAAACAGTAAGGGGCCTAGATTTATGTCTCCTGCTCGCTACGCTCACTCGGTGGTTTGTTCTTCTTCCCACAGTGCGGGTAACATCGACCCCGAGTCGTGGCCGGGCGCGCAGAACTCCATCGCTGCCGAGTCCGGGGCCAGCCGGATAAACGTGTTCTCCTGCTCGCTACACTCACTCGGTGGTTTGTTCTTCCCCCTCCCACAGTGCGGGTAACATCGATCCCGAGTCGTGGCCGGGCGCGCAGAACGCCATCGCTGCCGGGTCCGGGGCCAGCCGTATGAACGTGTTCTCCTGCTCGCTGCAGACCAGAGACGACCGGACCGCCGGAGTCTTCACTGTCAAGATGGCGGACGCTGGTGAGTGGAAACAGGGGTTCTAGGCTTCGATTCGCAGTTCACCTAATGTGACTATGCCTACGGCGACAATGCCAAAGAGTTTTTGAAGATGTTTTACTGCTTTCCTACTCGGCAGACCTGGATGAGCGCGGTTACGTTGGAGATGACCGACAGCAGAGCTGGGGTTAGGTTCGGTTTTTTGTAGCAGACACCCTGTGGTGTTGGGTTACATTATGTAGCAAGTGGTAGGACAGAGTTGAAGGGCTGGTCACCTTACATATCAAAGTGTTTGAGTAAGAATAAATCAGAGCAGTAGTTCACATTTGAAGGTAAACATTACTTACCTTTCTTGGTTGATTTTTGTTACGTCCTCCCCAGCCCAGATCCGTCCGAAGCTGCTGACCCAGACCGTCAGCGTCCAGGACGCCGTTACCTTGGAGATGACGGACAGCAGCGGGGGGTCAGGTCCGGTCATCTGGTGTCAGGTTACATTATGTAGCAAGTGGCAGGACAGATTTAGAGGGGCTGGTCACTATATATTTTCTTTCGTCCTCTAGCTCAAGTCCGCCCGAAGCTACTGACCCAGACCGTCAGTGTGCAGGACGCGGTTACCTTGGAGATGATTGACAGCAGCGGTGTTTGGTAACGTTATGTAGCAAGTGGCAGGACAGAGTTGGAGGGGCTGGTCACTATATATTTTTTGTTTTATCGTCTCTCCAGCCCAGATCCGTCCAAAACTGCTAACCCAGACCGTCAGTGTGCAAGACGCGGTTACCTTGGAGATGACTGACAGCAGCGGGGGGTCAGGTCCGGTCATCTGGCGGAAGGACGGGTCCATTATCTCGGGGGAGTCGGAGCTGACGCTGACCATCGACAGCGTGGGGACCCAGGCCACCGGCGTGTTCGAGTGCTACCGCACGGAGGAACAGAGACAGGCGGCCGAGCAGGCTATCATGCGGCTTATCGTTAGAAGTTAGGGACT